GATAAAAAATTAAGAGCTTTGTACCATAAAAAAAAATATATTCATATGCACATATCAGAAAAAATAATTTTTGATTTGTGGGACTGTTATTGTGGAGAAATTAAATTGCATTGTTTATATACCTGTCGTAGTAGAGGAAGTTAGATAAACATATGATAATAATAATTGTTGTGTAGTAGTTATAGACACTGTACTAAGAATGAACCCATTCGCCCCGGATTTATGTTCAGTCTCCTGTAGTTTTTTTGTGACCGTTGTTACATATAGATGGCTCCACGTGTGCTCAGCCGGCAAGGAGTCTATCAGTAGCCCTAGTGACCGATCCTGATTTCCCCATTCCTTGAATTGGCGGGAAAATGTGTTTTTCTTATTAATTCAGTTGGTATTGATACTGTTATTATTGTTATTGATGTTATGATTATTAAATTGTTATGAAAATCTTGATAACATTTAACCCATTCACGCCGGGTGTCACGTATATGTGACGGGCCCACTGCGAGTTCACTTGTTTGATTTTTTTTACACATAGATGGCTGCACTTGTACTTGTACTACCTGTCTCGCCTGTTTACCCTTTTCTTTAATTTACGAAAATATTATACGTTATCTTATTTTGCTGTTACTAACATTATAGTAATTATAATGTTTATAATAAAAATAACCGTCGATATTCATTGTACTAGTAAAAATACATTTTCCCGACCAATGAAATCAGGTAAGGCAGAGCCATCTAGTGTAAAGAAATTTCACAAAAAGTATAAAAAATGAGCACATTTTTTGTTCATTTTTACCCGGCGCGAATGGGTTAAGACAAGGAAATAATGCAAAAGATCCTTTACAAAAGTCAAGGAAAAGGGTAAACAGGTGAGATACGTAGGACTAATAACTGACTCTTTGGTGACTAAGCACTTGTAGAGCCATCTATGTGTTAACCCATTATCGCCGGGCATGCCATGCCATGCCCACTGTGAGATTACTTGTTGGATTGTTTTTACACACAGATGGCTACACTTGTACTAAATCACCAATGAGCCAATTACGAGTACCGCCCGTCTCGCCCGTTCACCCTTTTCTTTGATTTACGATTTTATTTTGCTGTTACAAATGTTAAAAAACATTATAAGAATTATAATGTTTATAATAAAAATAACACCAGCGATATTCATGGCACTAGTGAAAAATACGTTTTTCCCGCCATTTCAAATCAGGCGCTAGCAGAGCCATCTATCGGCAGACATTTAACAAAAAAGTGTAGAAAATAGGCACAGCATTTCCCCCATTTTTTGTTCCTTTTCCCCGGCGTCAATGGGTTAATACAATAATTAAACTTGTATTACACTGGTCATGGTATTCTTGGCATGGTGGCGATTGGGTTAAGAAATCACTCTCACCCTCACTCTCATCACCCTCACCTTTACCAACACTCTCACCCTCATCACCTTCACCATCACTTTCACCCTCACTAACAAACTCACCATTACCCTCACCATCACTCTCACCCTCACCCTCACCCTCACCCTCACCCTAACCCTCACCCTTATCCCCACCAACACCACCGACATCCCTCTCTCTCTTAGCGAAATAAAAAGTTCCTTAACACAAAAACCCGCCGACCATCAACGTTAATGCGCGAAGCTGTCACACGAAGTCTTTGTCAACCTTACTTTGGGTTATGACTCGATGTTACTCGTCCGATACATAATGCAACCGATGGTGATTTCATTGAGGAAGAGGTGAGCGGCGGATGCAAAGGGGAGAAAGGGAGGGGGTAGGGAGTGAGGGAGGAAATAGAGGGAAGGAGAAGGAAGGAGGGAGGGAGGAAAGAGAGGGAAGGAGAGGGAAGGAGGGAGGGAGGAAAGAGAGGGAAGGAGGGTGGGAGGGAGGGAAGAAAGAGAGGGAAGGAGGGAGAGAGGGAGGGAAGGAGAGAAAAGGAGGTAAACAAAGGGATAGAAGGGAAGGAGGGAGGAAGGGAGAGAGAGTGAAGGAGGGAGGAAGAGAGTAAAGGAGAGAGAAAAAGAGATAAACAGAGGGAAGGAGGGAGGGAGAGTTGGAGGGAAGAAGAGAGAGAGAGAGGGAGGGAAGAAGAGAGAAAGGGCAGATGCATAAATACTGTGGATAGATAGATAGATGGATAGGTAGATAGTTAAAATAGATAGAGAGAAATAGAGAGATAGATAGAGATAGAAAGATACAGAGAAAGATACAGAGACAGAGACAGAGAGAGAGGGGAGAGAGAGAGAGAGAGAGAGAGAGAGAGAGAGAGAGAGAGAGAGAGAGAGAGAGAGGGAAGAGAGAGAGAGAGAGAGAGAGAGAAAGGGGAAAGAGAGAGAGAGAGAGAGAGAGAGAGAGAGAGAGAGAGAGAGAGCGAGAGAGAGAGAGAGATAGAGATAGAGAGAGAGAGAGAGAGAGAGAGAGAGAGAGAGAATCACACAATGGATCCCGACCGCTGTCAGGACACTGCTGGTGCTACGTGTCTCACTAGTTTGAAGACTTAGCGGTGATTTCACATCAAAAGTCACCTTTTTCTCTTTGACAATGTGACTGAAGTAAGCGAACGACATTCGACTATTATGACATTATCTTAAAGTACACAAAAGAGAGAGAGAGAGAGTGAGTGAGTGAGTGAGAGAGAGAGAGTGTGTGTGTGTGAGTGAGTGAGAGAGAGAGAGAGAGAGAGAGAGAGAGAGAGAGAGAGAGAGAGAGAGAGAGAGAGAGAGAGAGAAAGAGAGAGAGAGGGAGATTGAGTGAGTGAGTGAGTGACTGAGAGAGAGAGAGAGGATAAGAAAAGAGAAGAGGATAAGAGAGAGAGAGAGAGAGAGAGAGAGAGAGAGAGAGAGAGAGACAGAGAGAGAGAGAGAGAGAGAGAGAGAGAGAGAGAGAGAGAGAGGAGGGGGGGGGGGGAGAGAGAGAGAGAGAGAGAGACAGAGAGAGAGAGAGAGAGAGAGAGAGAGAGAGAGAGAGAGAGAGAAAGAGAGAGAGAGGGACAGAGAGAGAGAGAGAGAGAGAGAGAGAGAGAGAGAGAGAGAGAGAGAGGGACAGAGGGAGAGAGAGAGAGAGAGAGAGAGAGAGAGAGAGAGAGAGAGAGAGAGAGAGAGAGAGAAGAGAGAGACAGAAGAGAGAGAGAGAGAGAGAGAGAGAGAGAGAGAGAGAGAGAGAGAGAGAGAGAGAGAGAGAGAAGAGAGGTAGAAAGAGAGAGAAAGAAGAAACAGAGACAGAAGAGAGAAAGAGAGAGATAAGAGAGAAAAGACAGAAGAGAGAGAGAAACAAAAGAGAGAGAGACAGAAGAATGAAGAGACAGAAGAGAGAGAGATAGATAGAATAAGAGAGAGAGAAGAGAGAAAAGACAGAAGAAAGCGAGGAAGGGAGAGAAATTTGCATAAGCCGCAAGCTTCGAAAGGATAAAAGTAGCTTTCACATTACATAACAGAGAACATCTCATCCTCCTTCGCAGAAACAACAAGATTCCAATTCCTTAAAAACAAACAAAAAAAAAAAATCTAAAGCCCATAGCAATAGCTTTCCAATACTCCTTCGAAGCTTTTATATCTAATATAACACCCGAAATCCTGGGAAAATAAACTTTAGCTAAGTTTCCCTTCCTCCTCCCCCCCCCCCCACCTTAACAAAACTTGAACCAAAAACACCGCAACACTCAAACGGTCTTGGCAATTTCTTTATATTAAAAGGTTATTGGCTTTTGGACATGGGTGTTTTATTAGCTGTGGTTCCAAGTGCGGTCTTTCTGGTCAAATATTGACGCTGACCCCTGCCTTTTGATGGGAAAGTGTGAGGCCGGACATTTAATGGCTGCCGCCGCCTTTGGTTGAACTCCGACTCTGCCCTTTTGTTGCCTCGGGAACTCCGGTCGCTTTGCCTCCCTTCGCCGGGCACGCTGGCGGAGGGCGGCTCGTACTGCGGGCGGCCCTCGGATGCGGAGGGAATGGGGGGAGGGGGGGTGGTCGTTCAAGGTAAGAGGTCGTGTGTGGTCGTGTTATGGACGACTTTCTATAGGGTAAAGGGGGTTGTTGTGTGGTAAGGAGTCGTCTGTGATAAAGGGTTTGTCTATGGTGGTTTTAAGGACGACTTTTCAGGGTAAGGGGTCGTGTATGGTAAGGTCC